GCAGACCTGGTTGTTCCCTCTGCACCAGCCAACCACTGGCCAATTTGGCAGGCTGACGTGGAGCAGGATTTCAAGGATCGGACCCCAACCCAGAGCCCAGTATCATTGGCGAGGGGGGCCCTGGCTGTCCCGCAAATCCACCGCATCCCTAATAGGGGGTGAGCAGGCTTGTCCTCAAAGAAGCTAAGCACTTCTTGAAGCAGAAAAGATGGATACTAGAATCAGCAAGGGATACCCACATGACCTGAAGGTGCTGCTGTGCAATGCCAGGTCAATGATTCATAAGACCACTGCCATCCATGACTTGATCATGGATGGAGGATTTGACCTGGCATGTATAACAGAGACCTGGTTGGATGAAGCAGATGGGCCTGTCCTTGCCGCTGCTTGTCCACCAGGTTTCTCTTACGCACAGCAACCCAGGTCATGTGGGCGGGGAGGGGGGTTGCAGTGATTTTTAGGAAGTCATTAGTTTGCACCAGGCGTCCTGTTGGGAAGACCCAGTTTTCTGAGTGCATGTTCTGGAAGTTGGGCAATAGGGGCAGTACAGGATTCCTTTTGGTGTACCGACCTCCCCGCTGCACCAAGGATTCCCTGCCCGAGCTGCTTCAGGTCGTGGCGGATGTTCTCCTGGAGACACCTAGCTTGGTCGTCCTAGGGGATTTTAACATCCATGCCGACACGACCTTACAAGGGGCCGCTCGGGACTTCGTGGAAAGCATGGCCTCCATGGGGCTGTCCCTGAATAAGTCTGGCCCAACCCATAGCCGTGGACATGCCTTGGACCTGGTGTTTACCTCTATGGATGTTGGTGATCTGACACTAAGTAAAAGCGAAACGAAAGAAGTGCCATGGTCAGATCACTTCCTGGTGCAACTGGACTTCTCTGCGACCCATCCCCTCTGCAGGGAGGTGGGACCAATTCGGATGGTCCGCCCCCGCCACTTAATGGATCCAAATGGTTTCCAGAGAGTGGTAGGGGATGCTTTATCCCATGTTGATGGCCTTTCAGCTGATTCCCTGGTGGCCCGCTGGAATGTGGAGTTAACCAGGGCTATTGACTGTTTGGCTCCGAAGCGCCCTCTCCGATTGCATGGAGCCCGGACAGCCCCGTGGTTTTCCACGGATCTGAGGGCAATGAAACAATCGTTGAGACGGCTAGAGCGCCGGTGGCGGAGAACTCATTCCGAATCTGACCGGACACAGGTTAGAGCTCAACGTCGAGCCTACCAAGTGGCGATAGCGACGGCGAAGAAGAATTTCTTCACCGCCTCTATTGCATCTGCAGAAAACAGCAGCAGGAGACTTTTTCAGGTGGTTCACAATTTAGCGGAACCACCTGCAACATCGGGGCCCAGTACGGGCCACATGTTCTCCTGCAATGATTTTGCAAAGTTTTTTGCAGATAAAATCGCTCAGATTCGGGAAGAAGTAGACTCCACCGTGGGAGCAGGGCCGGGGCGGGAGAGTGCTAGAGTTCTGTCTAGTCAAGTTGAGTGGGATCAATTCCAATCTGTTACCTCCGAGGATGTGGACAGGCTGCTTGGACGAGTGAAACCAACCACCTGTCTCCTGGATCCTTGCCCATCCTGGCTTATAAAAGCTAGCCGGGAAGGACTGGGCAATGGGCTTCGTGGGGTGGTGAATGCTTCCCTCCGTGAGGGAGCCTTCCCAGACCCGCTGAAAGAGGCGGTTATTAAACCGCTTCTTAAAAAACCATCTTTAGATGCGGCCACGATGGCCAACTATCGCCCAGTCTCAAATCTTCCATTCCTGGGCAAGGTGATTGAGCGAGCGGTTGCCGAACAACTCCAGGCACGCCTGGAAGAAGCGGACCATTTGGATCCCTTCCAGTCGGGATTCAGGCCTCATCATGGGACTGAAACTGCCTTGGTCGCACTGGTTGATGATCTCCGGCGGGCTAGGGACAAAGGTGAGAGCTGTTTCCTAGTTCTGCTGGATCTCTCAGCGGCGTTTGATACCATCGACCATAGCATCCTTCTGGACCGTCTTGAGGGGCTGGGAGCTGGGGGCACTGTTATACAGTGGTTCCGCTCCTTCCTCCTGGGCCGTGTTCAGAAAGTGGTGGTGGGGGATGAGTGTTCAGACCCCTGGGCTCTCACTTGTGGGGTGCCTCAGGGTTCTGTCCTCTCCCCCATGCTTTTCAACATTTACATGCAGCCGCTGGGAGAGATCATCAGGAGGTTTGGGCTGGGTGTTCATCAGTATGCGGATGATACCCAGCTCTACCTCTCTTTTAAATCAGAACCAGTGAAGGCGGTGAAGGTCCTGTGTGAGTGTCTGGAGGCGGTTGGAGGATGGATGGCGGCTAACAGATTGAGGTTGAATCCTGACAAGACAGAAGTACTGTTTTTGGGGGACAGGAGGCGGGCAGGTGTGGAGGATTCCCTGGTCCTGAATGGGGTAACTGTGCCCCTGAAGGACCAGGTGCGCAGCCTGGGAGTCATTTTGGACTCACAGCTGTCCATGGAGGCACAGGTCAAATCCGTGTCCAGGGCAGCTGTTTACCAGCTCCATCTGGTACGTAGGCTGAGACCCTATCTGCCTGCGGACTGTCTCGCCAGAGTGGTACATGCTCTGGTTATCTCCCGCTTGGACTACTGCAATGCACTCTACGTGGGGCTACCTTTGAAGGTGACTCGGAAACTACAACTAATCCAGAATGCGGCAGCTAGACTGGTGACTGGGAGCGGCCGCCGAGACCATATAACACCGGTCTTGAAAGACTTGCATTGGCTCCCAGTACGTTTCCGAGCACAATTCAAAGTGTTGGTGCTGACCTTTAAAGCCCTAAACGGCCTCGGTCCAGTATACCTGAAGGAGCGTCTCCACCCCCATCATTCTGCCCGGACGCTGAGGTCCAGCGCCGAGGGCCTTCTGGCGGTTCCCTCATTGCGAGAAGCAAAGCTACAGGGAACCAGGCAGAGGGCCTTCTCGGTAGTGGCGCCCACCCTGTGGAACGCCCTTCCAGCAGATGTCAAAGTGATAAATAACTACCTGACATTCAAGAGACATCTTAAGGCAGCCCTGTTCAGGGAAGTTTTTAACATGTGATATTTTATTGTATTTTTGGTTTTTATGGAAGCCGCCCAGAGTGGCTGGGGAGGCCCAGCCAGATGGGCGGGGTATAAATAATAAATTATTATTATTATTATTATTATTATTATATACAGATTTTGAAGCCTGGAGTTGCAAATCTCCTTGAAGCATCATCCAAGGGGGTGATGATGTGCTATGTTGTCTTGTACAGAGAAAAAGGTGGATGTTAAATAATGTTGACTTTTATAAACTGATGTGGATAAGCAAGGTCACAGCTGTTCAATCTGATGAGCTACTGATTAGATCAATTATCTATATGAAATTTCTGACCTTTCTGGTTTGAGATCTTCCTTTCTGGACATGGAAAGCAATCATAGCAGCAAAATGGCTTTCCTTCTTTCTTGGTCCTGCTATAACCTGGATGGCAGTGGTCATTACACATGGAAAGGGGCTGTGACTGTGCATAAAAGAAATAAAAATGTGCTTACTTGAGATCTTATATATTGGAAATTTTATCTCAGTCTTCTCTATCAATTTAAGAAATGGCTTCACAGTGGGGTTGTGTAATAACATCAGTTCCAGAGGGCATGTCTGGCCCATTGAGAGATGTGACAGGAAAGGTCAGGGAATGGATTTGACCCAATGAATTAAAAGCCACCTTCACCCTCTGAAATATCCCCAAATTGGAATGAGATTTATACCAGCATAGGAACTCATCTAAATCTCTACCGTGAAAGAGGGGAACATTGAAAGGATAGAGGATTGCAAAAGTGCTCTTCAGCCACACCAGTGAGAGTCCAGGATGGCTTTAGATGGGTGGTTGAATCGTCATCAGATTTTCTCTACTACCAGCAAACTTTGACTAGAACAATGAAAAGGCCAAAGGACATTGCATAGCAATGAGGTTCCAGCATTATGCAAGGTGAATGTTTTGGTTCAAAAGCATGATTTCACTGGGGACAGTGAACTACAACCATTTGAGTATCTAGATAACTCACTTCTTGAATATTGAGGAAATTTATAAATGCACCCTGAAATATGCAAGGACTGGACCTGGTTAAATTGTTTGGGCCAGATGATGAGATCCTCATGAATGGTGAAGACGTTGTCCAGGGAGGTCAGAGCATCTTTCTTATCTTGGAGAGTCGGAGGGTCTATCTTTCCAACTTTAACCCTGAAGAAGGTCTGGTTTGGGAGTGTGACCCAGTTTATAATGTCAAAGCCAGCAGCCAATTCCCCATTTTGATCAAAGGACACCATTTCCCCCACACTGTTGTTAAATGAAATATTTCTGAGAATGCGGTGGAGCTAAATTATGAGGAAGAGAAATTGTAAGTGTGTAAAGGTGCAAAACATGGAACTATGAAATATGGTGATAAAATAATTTACTTGGAGCATTCCGATTGTGTTCCCTTAAAAGTCTTTATACAGGCCAATGGCATTAACAGTAACAATAAGTCACCTAAAATTCCAAATGAGCTCCATTTTTACCCAACAATGCCTCTGGGATGATACTATATGATAATAAATTATTCTTCTAAATAAGTTATTTCTGGGGAAATTGTGACTACCAGGCTGCTCATGGAAGTACGGACAACTCTTATAGCGATGGTTGAATTACATTTTAAAGCAACGGGGTGGGAAACTGAAAGAACGCTCCTCTCTTGTTCTGGTAACTACCTCCCACAAAACACACATAAATTCAATATGTGTTTTAAAATAGTTCCATTACAAAGTTTTACCATCACTAGTTATACTCAATCCACTGTTTAGCTTTTTATAAGTTGCAATAGGCAGGGTTTTGTTTTTGTTTTTAAGAAGAAAGTCCTTTCTTCAACCACCATTTAGATGCCAATATTCTATCCTTAATAATGATGCAAGTTTCTGAATCAGCTAAGGGTTGCTGTTGCACAAAATATGTGGTGGTGTCTTCCATCTGATCAGGCCATCACCTGCCACTGTTGTGGCTCCAGAAGCTTCCATCTTCCACCACGTGATATTCCTGTATATTTGATTTGTGATAAATAGCTGGCATGCAAACTATGTGCTATTGCATAGACTGCATTGTAGACGCTGTAACTATGAGCAGTCATGCCCATTTCAAACACAGAAACAGGAAGCATCTCCAGCCTCTCATTCCCAGAACACCTTTTCCTGTCCATCTTGTGTGCCGCAGAACTGGGAAATGAACACTCAAATGATTCTTCCCAGAACTCCCTGATGAAGCCATCTTCTTCTTCTGAAGCAGGGTTTCTGTTCTGAAGAAATGTGTGGAAAAGCAGCACCTCCTTTGAATGAACTGAAAGGGACAAAGCACCATGGAGAAAATGTATGTCCCAATCTCTTTGGAAGGGGAATGATGTGAAATCCATCTGGGCTGTCATAACCCAAATTTTAGCCATTGTCCTCCATGGCATATTCTCCATTTCTGCAATCTGAGGCATTCCTCTAAAAACCATCATGGTCTGAATTTCTCCATGCACAAGCACAACATGGGCAGTACTTGATATAGCAACACTGACTGTCTTAACCCCTTCTCCTACCATGTCTCCAAAGCCACTGGAAGAAGTTAGTTTGGGGAATTTTTCTATGAAGTCGAAGCAGATGCCACCCTGGGAAAGCAGAGGAAGTATGTTCTCTATAAAGCTCTCTGTGTTGTCGTCATCCTGGGAAACAACTCCAATCCACTTCCATGAGAAATGCAGAAGTAAGTGGAGAATTCCCTTGTACTGAAAGGCACCGTTTGGGAACATCCGGTGGAAGAAAACAGCCTGAGTTTCATTATTCATGACTGGAGAAGAGCCATATATGAGCTAGTTTTGAGAAGGTAAGAGAAGAGAAACATTTCTCGCTTTGTGAGTATAGAGACATGACAAATTGTGTCATCCCCCCCAAATTATGTTATCCTTGAATATCAAAACAAATCTAGTACTAAATATCTATAAAGAAAGATTGTTATGGATGTAATGAATCAGGTATATAATCTTAGAAAATATATTTGACCTGTGGTCCTGCTCACCCCATTCCTCACCTAACATCACTCTGGTAACTACATGGCCAATTAAGGTAGGGAAAACTTTCACATTCAAAATATCTAATGGGTAAAACATCTTTGGTACTGAAATCCTGCTATATTGAAGTAGCCTGGGAAAATTTAGCTAATGGTCCATCAAAGATGAAAAAGGGAGTAGAAAACTGCCTTAGGTCACTGAGCCATGAGGCCTTGTCCATTTTTTTTCTATTGGTACAAAAATGAATAAGATGATAGATGATGATAGATGATAGATAGATAGATGATAGCTAGATGATAGATAGATAGATAGATAGATAGAGATAGATAGATTAGATAGATAGATAGATAGATAGATAGATGATAGATAGATAGATGATAGAGATAGAGAATAGACCACAAGGTGTGTTTTTTTATTTCAATAATATTCTGAATGTGTCTCTCTATTTCAGTCTCAACTTTTCCAGTCTGCAAGACGCATCAAGATGGAGGTGAATGGCATTCAAATGACATGTTCAGCTTAGAGGTTCCCCACACATGTCTTACTTGTGGCATCTTGTACATGCACAGGATAGTTGCCATGTGAAAACAGACATTAGAGTTTGGTCCCGCGATGACTGCTACTGGAGTATTCTCAACATCACACTTGTAGTTAGGGATGAACTTGGCCCGTCTGGAAAGAAGTTCTATGGAGGCTTGGTAGGTCCAGCTGGCACTGAAATGACTGTTATAGATGTGGAATCCAAGGGTGACATTGTGCAAGATTTGGGGGTTGGCATTGATCTCCTTCACAGCAAATGCCAAGGCCAGGATGTGCTGGTAGTTCTGAGTCAGGACCCTTTATCAAGTGCCATATGGTGAGAGTCATGTGTTACATTTTACACCATCGGCTTCAGTTCATCACATTCACAACATTTCAGTTCAGTGTATAAATTCATTGCACATATATTGCACATAAATAGTTTTTAAGGCCAAGGTCAAAAGTAGTGTAAACAGGAGCTGGTTGTAAAACAAGGACCTCAAACTTCAAACATCATCTCATTTGCGTGTTGAGTCCCACAAAGCCACCCTCACCAAATAATTCACACTTCACACAGTAATTTTTGTTTAAGATTTTTGGCATGATTTTGGCCACAACTTTATTAAAATACAAATACGTGAGTGGTTGCTTAGGCATTGGTTATGACTATCTGTCCTTGCCCGGGGACAGAGCTGGCCTTCCGGATTCCAGCGGAAGCCAGCGTGGGAAACAAGTATTGGGTGATAAGGTGAGTCTGGGTAACAGTCCCACACCTCTCACCCTCATGTTCCTGTGGGGCTTGCACGGCCCAAGTCCGACTCCGGGGACAAGGACGAAAGAATGGCAAGCCCCTGGATTCCTTTAACGGAATTCCCTTTTCACACCACCATTGGAGGGGTAGGCACTTACCCCTCCACCAACCGATTTTAACCAATGCCTAACCGCCAACCTTACAAGTTGTGACTTATTTGCTACGCAGTAGGCGAAACCCAAATGGCACCAGCCAATCAGCCAAGTGGTAAATTCCTACCAGGCCCCCGCACCAAGGCGGACGACCCCTAGACAGGCATAGCAAGGTCAAATAACCAGAAACCCCCCCTTAAAGGGAGGGTGGGCGGGTGATCCGATGCAGAGGCCAAGAGGACGCCCCTTCAATGGCGACCTGTATATATATGCCTCTGCTCCTCCTTCAAGATTGGCAACAAACAAAACTCCCCAGTCACCAATTTAACCCATTAAGGGTTCTATCCTTCCAACCGCCCAATAACCGCAGGGTGGTTTGTATTTCCCAACCGCAACAAGTGCTCTCATTTAAGGAGAACACGCTTTACAAACATACATTCATTCTGTTGCAAACAGAAGCAGCAGCAATAGAAATTTGCAGCACAACTATGCAGGCCAATGGGAATGAAGAGGACATTATCTGATACTCTGACCTGTCTTTCCATGCCTGCATTAGTGCCTACTTCTTAAGGCGTATCCAGGCATGCCACTTCATTCAACATGTGCAAGCTACACTCCCTGATTCTATTCCCTTGGCCCTCCTGAAACTCAACTTCAAGCCTCTGAAACAGTTAATCCTGGACAAATATTTTCATTGGAAAAGACGCCTCAAAGCACCACTCTTCCTAAACTCTTGGAAATCAACTATTCTCACATTACATTTACTGCCTGTAATTTTGCCATACCTCTCTCAGAAAGCAGGGAATAAAACACTAAACTAATGCAAAATATATCATTGAAAGTCAAGACATTACATATAGTATCCCTCTGTATATCAGTTCCAAGAAATGTCCCACATATTTAGCATCAAAATGGAGAGATAGTGATCATCTCTATGAAGCACAATTGAAAGCAGTATGCTGTCCAGACTACTATGTAACGAGAAAATGATTAATCTGTAGTTTTCTCATCCTCACATGACAAAGAGAGATTGAGATTTCAGATATCCACAAAAATAATCCCCCAAACTGGCTGACCCTAAAGACAATCAATAAAGCAATATGCACTTCCAACAGTTTGTTCCCAAATCCCGTACAAAAGAGCAGCATGACTTGGAATAGTATCACTAAAACACTATGATATGGCTTTAAAGCAACATACATGTGGTCATCAGAAAGTTCCTGAGCCGGATGTTGTTCAAAGGATATGGTGCTTGAAGATATGTAGATCTGGGAAATAATGCCAGCGATGATGAGGTCTCCTGACTGATAATATTTGTGAATGATAGGAACAGGTTCATTGATAGAACATTGAGGGAGAGGAGCAAGCATGCATATCCCCCGGAACAGCAGTAGGAACACCACCACCCCAAATAATAACATCTTGCAGAGAGTTTAATGGTAGACACCAAGCCATCTGCTCTGTGATTCTTATTCAGCGGAATTTGAATGATCACTCACCCAGCTGATTCGAGGGCAAAAAATACAGAATAAAGAATAGGTGGCCATTCAGAGCTATGTCTATAGGCCCAGCTCTGAGTGACTCTTAGATATTAATAACACCCCTTAGTCTTTGATTGTTATTTTGCATGGGACCAGTAGACCGCCCCAAGGATAGGGGCAAGAAGTACAAATAATGGTGATTAATTTGATAATTGCAGGTCTGTTAAGAACTTAATCTGATTCATTGTTTCTCTGCAATATTGCAAAAGAAAATATGTTTTTCACATCTCAGCTGAAATCTTCTCTGGACAATCCTCAGTGAAAGGAAGTTTTAACTTGTTATAGTTACAAATATGTTCACAACTGAGGTCTTAAAAAAAAACAGCACAGGCATATAACTGGTTTGAACTATATTTAATCACTGAGGGGGAAATCTTCCTCTATGGCCCACCCTGCAAATGTATTTCACTTTTAAAATTAATTACCCGCCCTTCACCATGAGGTTACAGCAAGTTGCAACAAATAGAAAATAAATTCTTAAAATAGATACAAAAGAGTAGAATTTCAACATCTCCAGTTTGTCCTCCTGTCTCCAGCTGATCCAGCCTTTCACGGATAACAAATGCTTTGAATATGAACAGGGAAATGCTTCCCTTAAAAAAAACCTGGAGATGTCTGGACTGTGTTTCCTAGTAGCCATGTTTGGTGCTCCTTGTTGTGGTCTTCACTGCAAAAGAGAGAGAACGCTGAAGATACTGCGAGTCATTAGGAGAAATCGAGAAATCAAAGCTGATTTCATGGAAAGCTGTTGTGATCCAGACTTTTGCCCCTATTTCCTTCTCATACACACTGCGTATTGAGCAGGATACAATGATTTCCATTACATTGGTTACATAGCAACGAAACATCCTGACTTGTCTTCAGAGGAGGAAAGGTTCACTTGGGCTGATCGGGTTTTTAAAATGATTCAAATTACTTTCTTTCAATGTTTTGGATAAGGCAATGCAAATCCCTCTGCTGTGGGTCAGGCCTTAAGCAACTCAGGACTGTGACGCATGTCTCAAACTTCACTGTACACTGTGTCACTTGTACACTGACATCAGCAGAAGTCACGTAAATCTTTTTCCAAAGTACAAAACTTAAACAGACTGACAAATACTCAGCTTTTCTCCACACAAGCTATTATAGCAACAATTATGGATTATTTTTTCTGGAAGTGCAATAAGTATTCAGTTGCTTCTGTTGATTAAAAAAATAAGGTTTTGATCCAGACAGTTTTAGTGGTTTAGCCTATTTCACTCAAAGATAAGAACTATTATGAGTCTAAATCCAGCCTAGTATCTCACAAATATTTTCTTTTGTCTGGATATTGAGAAGTCAATTAAACATAAATATTGTACATCAGTGAGACTATTCTATGTTTCATTTCTTTCAAACAGTCTATTCTAAATATAACTAAGTCTAGATCCAAACCACAGTTCACATTGCATTTTATCTTAACTAAATAAATAATAAAGAATGCAACAGCAACATAGGTCTCAGTCCAATAAATTACAGCACAATTTAGCTCATGTGTATTATTTTTCTTTATTAGATTCCTAGACTACTCTTCATCCAAAGATCACAAGGCAGTTTACAATATAAAAACATAAAAATACATACCACAATAACAAAACCAATACACTCCCCCACAGTACAAAAGGCCACAGGAATAATTAGTTATTTCTCTTTTTCCCTGGCTTAATTCCTGTCACTTACACATTGCTAATTTAAAATGGCCAAATAATTGAGAATATGTCATTGTTTTGTTCTTCTTAGCTGTTCCTTGTTGTTCAGTTCAGGTCTCAACAGAATGATATAGAGCTTTGGAGAAAAGATACAACCCAGCAACCCAGCACTGGAGGCCAAGATGGAGAAAATCTCCACGGCAACCATATATCTCCCCCTTGTGCTGAGATAGGTTGGGACAAAGGTCAACCAAACACTGCAAAAGACCAACATACTGAAGGTGATAAACTTGGCCTCATTAAAACTATCAGGCAACTTATGGGCTGGGAAAGCAACACAGAAGCTGACAGTGGCAAGCAAACCCATGAAGCCCAAGACGCAGTAAAACATGGCGACTGAGCCCTCATTACATTCTAGTATAATTTCTTTAACAGCTGAGTGCATGTTGAAATCTGGGAATGGGGTAGAGGTTGAGAGCCACACCGTGCAAACAGTGGTTTGAATCAGAGAGGAGCCAAGAACAATGGAAGCAGCCAGTCTCTTCCCCAACCATTTCCTCATTCGGGACCCAGGCATGGTGGCCATGAAAGCTAGAACGACAATGGTGGTTTTGGCCAGAACACAAGACACAGCTGCCGTGAAGATAATGCCAAAAGCAGTTTGCCGAAGAAGACATGTCAGCGTTTTTGGTTGGCCAATGAAGAGCAAAGCACAAAGGAAGGCAAGAAGGAGGAACATGAGGAGAGTGTAGGTGAGATTCCGGTTGTTGGCTTTGACAATGGGAGTGCCCTGGTGCTTAACAAAGATGCCAAGCACTAAAGCTGTAAGGAATGAAAAGGAAAGAGCCAATATTGCCAGAGTCATCCCCAAAGCTTCTTCGTAAGACAGGAAACTTATGACTTTTGGAATGCACGAATCCTGGGCATTATTTGGATACTGATCCTCTGGACATTGCAAACAGTCGTCCATGTCTAGAAAAGAAAACATAAGGTTTGAAATATGGAAGCCCTGTTCACAGCGGAATAATCAAGAATAAAGAAATAATAATAATCACTAAGCGGACACATGGGGTAGCCAATATTAATTCTACAAAACCTAGAAAGATGTGTTCTTGGTAGATGTATGACAGACATATCTCTGTCTTTCTTATGCAATTATATATTCAGGATACTGTACTCAGAGATAGTAAGTGTGGAACCTAGTTGTGGATTCCACTCTGAAGTGGATACTATCCCTGGAAATTTTATCCAGTTCTGTAAAAAAAAGGGGGGAGAGCATTCCATAGATGGGGAGCCACTACAGAGAAGACCTCTTCTCATGTTACCACCCTCCAGACCTCTCGAGGAGGCGGCACACGAAGGAGGGCCTCGGAAGATGATCTCAGGGTCCAGGTAGGTTCATATGGGAAGAGGCGGTCCTTGAGGTATTGCGGTCCTGAGCCATTTAAGGCTTTATAGGTCAAAACCAGTGCTTTGAATTGGGCCCTGAAACTAATTGGTAGCCAGTGCAGTTGGACCAGGATTGGTGTAATATGCTCAAACCGTCTTGTTCCCTTGAGCAACCTAGCGGCTGAATTCTGCACTAGCTGAAGTTTCTGAACCATCTTCAGAGGCAGCCCTAAGTATAACACATTGCAGTAATCTAACCTAGAGGTTACCAGAGCATAGACAACAGTAGTTAGGCTATCCCTGTCCAGATAGGGGCATAGCTGGGCCACCAGGCGAAGCTGGGTCACTTTGCACTACCCATGCAAAGTAAAATTAAATAACACAGCATGTGCAAAGAGATAGTTAAACATCTTGAGATTAAGTCATATGTGAAAGTTTTCCATTATACTACTTACCCTTCTGGTTTGAGATCTTCCCTTCTGGACAGGGAAGGCAATCATAGCAGCAGAATGGCTCCCCTTTCTTCTTGGTTCGACTATAACCCAAATGGCAATTGTCATTACAAAGAGAAAGGGGCAGTGCCTGTACATAAAATTATAGAAACATATATGCTATAAACATGGTGTCCCCAGACTGACTCCAACATCTCCATCCCTTAGGACAGGCATGGGGGACCTTCAGGTCTTGGCAATGCTTGCTGGGAATATGGGTGTTGCAGTTCAGAAAAAGAGCTGGAGAGCTGAAGGTTCCTCACTCTTGCCTTCTGGGAAGGGCCATAACTCAACAGTAGAATATCTGCTTTGCATGCAGAAGCTCCTGGGTTCAATCCCAGGCATCTCCAGTTAGGGTTCAGAAAGACCTTGGTCTTGAGCCCCAGAGACCAGTTGCCAGTCAGTGTCAAATGTACTGAGCTAGATGGGTCAGTTGTCTGATTGGCAGCTTCCTGTGTTGCTATGTGTATTGAATGGAACGTAAGAAAAGCAGTGTCTAGAAACATCTCATCATATCATGATTACCATTAAACTTATTTATTTCATTTATCACTTTGATGCAAAACAACCTGAAGGCATCTTACAATATCCAGAATAAAGTAAAAATGCAAGAATAGCACAAGAGTGTAAAAACACAACAAACAACAAAGCACTAAATAGCATCATGCACTAGTTCTCATAGAGTTGTATGCCTTATGTGGTCCATGCAATTAGGACAACTGTATGAGCAGGGTCTTCATTGCACCAAGTCCCTATAAATAGATAAAGGTAAAGGTAAAGGTACCCCTGCCCGTACGGGCCAGTCTTGCCAGACTCTAGGGTTCTGCGCTCATCTCACTCTATAGGCCGGGAGCCAGCGCTGTCCGCAGACACTTCCGGGTCACGTGGCCAGCGTGACAAGCTGCATCTGGCGAGCCAGCGCAGCACACGGAACGCTGTTTACCTTCCCGCTGGTAAGCGGTCCCTATTTATCTACTTGCACCCGGGGGTGCTTTTGAACTGCTAGGTTGGCAAGCGTTGGGACCAAATGACGGGAGCGCACCCCGCCGCGGGGATTCGAACCGCCGACCATGCGATCGGCAAGTCCTAGGCGCTGAGGTTTTACCCACAGCGCCACCCACGTCCCTATAAATAGATATCCATGTGCATATGTAAAGAAACATGTTCACATCTGCCATGCCACATGCAAACATGGCGGACACGATTAGCAATGGCACAGTTTGTGGCATGCTCCAAAGGGTGTGAGCCTACCTGTCAGTGTGTAAACGAAGAGGCAAAGGAAGATGACTACAGACAGATGTTTTGCCATGACACTTTTTAAAAAAATGTGCCCGAACCGTACCTGGTTAAATCTGCTGGGCCACACAATTGCATCCTCATGAATGGTGAACTGTTTGCCTGAGGTGGCCTGTGGATCTATCCCACCAACTCTTACTTGAAGAATGGACTGGTTTGCGAATGTCACCCAGTTCATTATATCAAATGCAGACTCCAATTCTCCATTTTGGTTGAAATAAACTTTTTCCCCAGCACTATTATTAAATACGCTACTTCTCACCAAGTGGCTGAGCTAAATTCGGGAGGAGGAAAGAGGGTGGGAATAGAAGAGGAATTAATCACTATATAGGTAAAGGTAAAGGACCCCTGGATGGTTAAGTGCAGCGACTACGGGGTGTAGCGCTCGTCTCGCTTCAGGCCGAGGCAGCTGGCGTTTGTCTACAGATAGCTTTCCGGGTCATGTGGCCAGCATGACTAAACTCCTTTTGGCACAACAAAACACCGTTACAGAAGCCAGAGCGCATGGAAAGGCTGTTTACCTTCCCACCACAGCAGTACCTATTTATATACTTGCACTGGTATGCTTTTGAACTGCCAAGTTGGCAGAAACTGGGACAGAAAAACGGGATCTCACCCTGTCGCATGGACTCGAACTGCCGACCTTTTGACCGGCAAGCCCAAGAGGCTCAGTGGTTTAGACCACAGCGCCACCTGCATCCCCAAATATAACTAGATATAGCAGGTTGATGATGAGCTTTCCCACTTGAGGGATATGAGGAATGGGTCCTTCAACAAAGGAGTTATAAAGACTAGTAGTGATGCAATTGTCATTATCAAGCACTAAAAGCCCCACATCTCCACCATCTTCTTTTCATTACCTTCATTCCATCAAGAAGAATGCGTAACAACCACACATCACAAGAAAAGAAATAGGAAGGGTTACAGCCTTTCAAGCAGCCTTTACATCTTATGAACAAGTAAGGCTTGTTACTACATTTTTGTGTAGAATAAAGGAGGGTTGAGCTCCACCAACTGAAGGGATTTTTAAAGAGGTTTGAAGAATTCACAGGGGATAAGGCTGTCAGTGGCTGATGGCCATCATGTCCATGTTCTGCTTCCATGGTTGAAGGCAGGATGCCTCTTTTCTAGGAATCAAAATTGGGGTGAGCCCTGTTGCAATCAGGTCCTATGGGCACCTGGCTGGACATTGCGAGAAGAGGATGCTGGAGTAGATGGGTCATTGGCCTGATCCTGCAGGTTCTTCTTATGTCCTCAGGTAAGTGAATGCAGACAATTTACCTTCTGTATATGCTTTCTTAGTATATTATATTACTACTACTGCTTGGGGAGGGACGCAGGTGGCGCTGTGGGTAAAACCTCAGCGCCTAGGACTTGCCGATCGTATGGTCGGCGGTTCGAATCCCCGCGGTGGGGTGAGCTCCCGTCTTTCGGTCCCAGCTCCTGCCCACCTAGCAGTTCGAAAGCACCTCCGGGTGCAAGTAGATAAATAGGGACCGCTTACTGGCGGGAAGGTAAACGGCGTTCCGTGTGCTGCGCTGGCTCGCCAGATGCAGCTTGTCACGCTGGCCACGTGACCCGGAAGTGTCTCCGGACAGCGCTGGCCCCCGGCCTCTTAAGTGAGATGGGCGCACAACCCTAGAGTCGGACACGACTGGCCCGTACGGGCAGGGGTACCTTTACCTTTACCTTTACTGCTTGGGGAATTTGCTTAATTTCAGCAAGATTTTATATGATGCATCTTTTCATGAAGAACAATCATACAAAAGATATTCTGCAGCAGCTGCCATTTGGCATTGAATAAAACTCCTGTTGCAATCTCCTATTAGTGAGATGAAAGGCCTATCCCCATTCAGGATGAGTCCTCACTGAGCTCCCTGGCAGCTTCTACTGACAGATGTAAAACAGATTCATAAAACGGTGAATCATGTTTTCAGCAAGACATGCAATTTGGTCTTTAGATGCTAACCACTAATAATAATAATAATAAAATTATTACCTATTCAGGTTGAGTAAGTTAAAAAGTTAGGTGAAGATATAACACGATTAGGGAATAGAGGATATAGCAAAAAACAAAATTTAAGGTGGTAGACCACTAGTCGAGAAGGAGGGAAGTCATAGGCTCATTGCAGCCAAAAAGTGTGTTAATGAAAATATAATGTGATGTAATGATAATCTATGTAAAAATTAATAAAAATTGTTATATAGAAAAAAAGATGCTAACCACTGTTGGTGAGAACAGAAACTTTTCAAACCCTCTGGATTCTTCCCCTTTTTATTATTTCCAAGGGTATGGGGAGCATTCCTGCATTATTGCGCTCCTGATCTTACCTTCCACACCTGTTGATTCCAAAACGTCAGCCATCATCCACCCACGATTGCTCTGTGTTTGAATTGAGATGAATGTGCGGCATGCAAGGCATGTGCCACAGCATAGACTGCATTGTAGATGCTGTAGCTGTGGCCAGTCATGCTCGCTTGAAAAATAGACCCCGGAAGAGTCTCCAGCTTCTCCTCCCCTGTGCAAATTTTGCCTTCCTGCATATTTTCCCCAGAGTCAGGGAAATCGCACGCAAATGCCTTTTCCCAGTACGCCTTCATAAAGCCATCTTCTTTTTCCAAGATGGGATTTCTCGTCTGAAAAAATTCCTGGAATCCCAAGACCTCCTTTGAGTGAATTGTGAAGGACAGAGCACCATGGAGGAAGTCAATGTCCAGATCTCTTTGAAAGGGAAGTGATGTGAAATCCATCTGGACTGTCATGACCCAAACTTTCCCTTTGGCCTTCATTGGAATACCTTCATATTCTGACATTTCAGGAACTGCTCTCAAAAGTGTCATGGAATCAATTTCACCATGAATGAGCAACACATTGACAGTACTTCTCATGGCAATATTAAATGTCTTGAGTCCATCTGTAACCACGTCTGTAACACTGCTAGAATATGTAATTGTTGGAAATCTTTCCATGAAATCAAAGCAGATTCCTCTTAGGATAAATTTTGGAACCACGCTCTGTATAAACCTGTCTCCATTCTCATCATTCACAGTCAACAAACCAGTCCATGTCCACCTGAAATGTAGCAATAACTTGAGAATCCCTTCATACTGATGGTCTAGATTTGGGAACATTTGGTGGTAGAAAGCAGCTTCAGTTTTCATTTTTCCTACTGGAGCAGAGCCATAGATGAGCTAAATGAAAGGTAGGAAATGAGGAGATGAGATACTTTTTAAAAAGGGTGTAGTGGTTTACTTTTTAACTCGTATTGGCAGCAGTTGAAATCCAATCCAGATTTCGGATTTGTTGTTGTTGTTGTTGAGTGCTGACGACCTGGGAGTTTTTCAGTTTTTCTCAAGCTTAAGAGAAAGTGTTGGAATTCAAAGGTACAAATATGCTGACCAATTCTCTAAACCAGAGCTTTCCGAACTTTTCATGTTGGTGACACACTTTTTAGAGATGCATCATTTCATGACACAGTAATTCAATTCTGCTAGCAAACTGGAGGTTAAACCAACCCTTTTCCAGCCCTGGGAGGAGTGTGGGGAGCATTTGTGCAACACAGCGACAACTAACCGTGTTGCGACACACAGTTTGGAAAGCTCTGCTCTAAACTAACTATCCTAGCAAAGGAATTCACTTTGTCCTCACTTGTGAAACTATAGTGGCAGAAAGTATATACTGAAAGAGGGTTGTGCCAGTCTACTCAAACAATTGTGTGCATTTGCCTTTCATGGTTGTGCCATGTCTTACATTCACTGGCATGTCAGGGCTTCCACCATATTCTGTTGTTGGATTAGAACTCCCATAATCTATGAGCCTGACCAAACTGCGGGAGGCAGTGGAAGACAGGAGTGCCTGGCGTGCTCTGGTCCAGGGGTTCACGAAGAGGCGGACATGACTAAATGACTAAACAACAACAACAACAAAATCTATGAGCCCTGACCACGCTGTCTGGGGCTGATGAAAGTTGAATTTCAATCACATCTGAAGGACACCACACTGGTATATTTACTGTAGTCCCTCAGCCAGTTTACTTCAAGCATAGATCAGCACAATTAGACACAAATATTTATATTAAGATATCCGTCCAGCTCTTCACCATTTATTTCCATGGCAGTTATCATATATTAAGCAATAAGGGGAAAGAGCAAAGGGAAAACAAATGAAAAAGGACAAACACAGTGACAGTTGTAAAGGTACAGCTGATCACCAGAACTTGCAAAGTGCCATGCCTTCGCCTCAAAAGAAGACCCAACGGTCTGGGTAGTTTGACATCATGAGAGGTGCTCTGGGAGAATTTTACCTGTGGAATCTTGTAGATGCTCAGTATAGTTGCCATGTGGAGACAGACTTCAGAGTTAGAGCCTCCAATGACTGCAACGGGGTTATTCTGGAGGTCACACTTGTAGTTGGGGATGTATCTGCCATATGTAGAGAGGAGTTCCAAGGAGACACAATAGGTCCAGCTTGGGCTGAACTGACTGTTATAGATGTGGAAGCCCAGGGTGAGGTTGGGTAAGATTTGGGGGTTTACATTGATCTCCTTTACAGCAAATACTAATGCCAGGATGTGTTGGTAGAGCTGTGTCATGATCCTGAAATGATAGTTATGTACATGCTGTGCCACAGTGCGTTTCCTTCTGGATGGGACATCTGCTACACTTCAGTTGAGCTAATAATATTTTACAGATCAATCTATCTCAGTCTAGGGAAATCTGGAGGGACATTAGCACACACAGATTCCAGCCCTAAACTGGGGAACTAAGCCTTTTTAAAAAGAGAGTTTGACTTACACAATCCCTTTTGCTAAGGTTGCTTCCACTGGGATGCTAGGTCATTTGAAGGAAACCCAATGGAGTATGGAGTAGATCTCCACCTGCTCCAGCACTGCCATGCACCTGGGAACATCTCCCCTTTTGGGGGCTTACCCTGGCCTTGTATGAGCCAGGTGAGCTCCAAATCAGCTGGAATGGGAGACTTACATCACTATATCTCTGTCTGATCTGGGATGAGGGGTTTCAGCTGGCTGAGCCCAGGCTGATCCACCTTGCAGATCCCGGCTTTGAATTGCTCCTTAAGCTGCTGAGGAAAATAGGCTGGGGATGTTAGATTCATGGCTGCCACAACTAAAAAGACAAAAGGAAGGTGATGATTAATGTGGCTTAGATACTGGTATGGATGCAATTATTTGACAAAGGCAGGGAAAGTTGAGCTGCCATTCTTCTCCCATTCACTGGATCTAACACTGATCTATGGGCCTGGCTCTTCCAGGGGAAATATAATAAGTATGTGGTATCAGAGGATTTTAGAAAACAAATCTTACACAATGTCGTCAAAGAGGTCACTAGAAGGACACTTTCTGAAGTCTATTGAGTTGAAGAATATGTAGATCTGAGACATAATCCCAGCAATGATGAGGTCTCCTGGCTGGTGGTACTTGTGAAGAATAGGAAGGGGATTAGTGATGCTGCATTCAATATTAGGAATCTTGCCTGTCACCTGAGGCAAAAGCACTGGTAGCCATAGTACAAATACAACCATCTTGCATGAAATGATTCTTCTTGTACATAAATTCTCCCACCTCCACATTCTCCTTTGCTGAGTCCTGTACTGCAGCCTGCGCAGCCTGACTTAAGGAGACACTAGGGGCTGATTTGTGGCTCAGATGGTGCAGGATAAAGTCTCTGTTATGAGACGGACCAAGCGCTGGCTATCTCGTCATACCTTGGAAATGTACAAGGGATATTAGTAGGATCCTCCTATTTTCGTTAATAATAATGCAGCTCATAGTCCCTTTATATGGGGAGAAGTGTCTTCTATTCTTATGTTAATAATTACAAGGGCGATGATCACATTATTATGGTTTACAGGCACATAGATGTGATGGCTGCAATCATCCAGTTTATGTCGTCACCTAGTTGTGTTATGGAAATTAATGGGCCCAGATGATGCAATTTGTAGCAAGAAACTAGATGGCTGTAACTATAGTAGTTAGGGGCCGATGATGTTTATATTCTCAGCTTTGCACAAACAGAGACCTTTAAGCAAACAACATGCTAGGTGCATTATACTTGAAAGTGAAATTTGGCTGCTTGCTCTGTGCAGGTCTCAGAGGTCTATATGAAAGGTGAGAATAAGAGTATTTTGTGGGTATTTTCCAGAGTTCAAAAGTAGCAGAAAAGTTTCAAAAGATTCCCTATTAATAAGATGATGTTTGAAATCCCCTTGAAAAAATATTGTGTGTGGCGGGAGTTTAATATCCTTGAGAACCAGCCCTAAGTTTGTATCCTCTGCAGTCCTGACTTCTGTTCATTTGTAATGAGATGCCTAGAGAGCAAAGGATCAACTCAGCAACTCAGCAGACTCTCCACCTCTTCCCATGCCAGAGGTTGCCCACCTTATAAGGTCTGCCAGAGACTATTCATTGCCTGCCCAGTGATGCACTGTAGAAACTTCCAAGCTTACTTAAGTAGAGTTTGACTTCTTCAACCCCGGTCTGGTGGAGCGCTCTGTCACAAGAGATCAGGGCCCTGTGGGATTTGACATCTTTCCACAGGACCTGCAAGATGGAATTGTTCCGCCAGGCCTTTGGTCGGGGCTCAGCCTGACTCCCCTTTTCTTTTTGTATAAGAACTAATATGAAAGAGGCCTCTCACCATTCTCACAGGTCCATATAAGAACAGCGTAAACAGTTGGGCCAGATGAACATTTACTGTTCCCAACCCTAACCTTGCGGAAAGCCATCTAATTAGACTTTAATGTGATTTTGACCTGTTTTTAGGAGGTAATTTAATTATTGCTTGATTTTATACTAATGTTATATACCGTATTTTTCGCTCTATAACACGCACCCGACCATAATATGCACGTAGTTTTTAGAGGAGGAAAACAAGAAAAACAATATTCTAAACGATACAGTGGATGTATGATTTTTGTGGTTCATGCTGTGGCCATAGACATGTGATCTGACAGTGAGTTTGGAGTAGCCCAATACAAAAATCCTGGGGATCCATGTGGATCCATGCTTTGTAACCACGTTTTTGCACCACTGCGGCCCCAGGCAACAGTGGGTGCATGATTTTTTTGGTGCAAGATGTAGCCATGGACATGCTATGTGATCTGATGGTGAATTTGGGGTGACCCAGTGCAAAAATCCTGAAGATCCATGTGGATCTGTGCTTAGTAACCACGTTTTAAGTGGAGAGGGAAGGAAAAGCACTCAAGGGACAAGAAGCACGCGTGGGGTGGGTGGAGAAGGATGCTGCTAATAATGAAGAAGAGGGATATAAGGGGAGAAGGAACGCGCCTGGGGTGGGTGGAGAAGGATGCTGCTAATAATGCAGAAGAGGGGTTTAAGGGGAGAAGAAGCATGTGTGGGGTGGGTGGAGAAGGATGCTGTTAATAATGAAGAAGAGGGGTATAAGGGGGAAAGGCTCCTCTCCTCTCCCACTTCGCTCCTTTAAAGCAAGCAGGCTCTGCTTTTCTTCCTCCTCCCCGCTCATCCCCGGCTTAGCGAGCTGAAAAACTTTGCTGCTATGTAGCGAGCTGAGTGGGGAGGAGAGAGGGACAGAGAGCCTGCTTGGTTTAAAGGAACCAACCGGACAGGAGCCGCTTACACTCGTGTAAGCGGCTCCTCTCCTCTCCCGCTTTGCTCCTTTAAAGAAGCAGGCTCTCTGTCCCTCTCTCCTCCCCACTCAGCGGCTCTTCTCCCACTTTGCTGTTTCAAAGCGAGTCATGGAGGAGGTAAGGAAGGGGAAGCATGGATCCTCTGCTCACGACTGCAACAGATCCCCCCCCCCCGCCACCCATAGGCATTCCCTCCATAACACGCATAGACATTTCCCCTTGCTTTCTAGGAGGAAAAAAGTGAGTGTTATGGTGCAAAAAAATACGGTATCTGATGTTAGCCGCCCTGAGCCTGACTTTGGCTGGGGAGGGCAGGATATAAATAAAAGTTATTATTATTATTATTATTATTATTATTATTATTATTATTATTATTCAGGCCTTAAGGTCCTGAAAATTATAGACTGGTTACCATAACTTCTGTCCTGGGAAGACTTGTAGAAAGTATGATCATTCAGTCAGTCATAATTTTATTTGTACGCTGTTCTTCTACAAAAACAATCAGGTTCCAAGTGTCTTACAACAAAGAAAACAGGAAGACATCTCAAAATGAACCAAGTCCAAAAGTTTACTCATGGCTTTTCTAAAGTCATAGAATTTTAGTGGCTTCAATGATTCCTTCTTCTTAACTGCTCCTTGCTATTCAATTCAGGCCTCAGTATAATAATATAACATTTTGGGGAAAATATGCAGCCAAGAATCCCAAAGCTGGAGGCCAAGATGGAGAAGATCTTGACAGCCACCATGTATTTTCCTTTGGTGCTCAAGTACGTCGGGACAAAGGAAAGCCAAACGCTACAAAAGACCAACATGCTGAAGGTGATGAACTTGGCTTCATTAAAACTGTCAGGCAACTTCCGGGCTAGGAATGCCATGATGAAGCTGAACATGGCCAGGAAGCCCATAAAGCCCAGAGCACAATAGAACATGAAGGATGATCCTTCATTACATTGCAATACAATCTCTTTGGTCACTGAATGCATGTCTAAATCTGGGAACGGGGGAGATATTGCCAGCCACACAATGCAAATGGCGACTTGTGTAAGGGAGCAGGAAAGAACAATGGAAATGGACAGTCTTCTTCCTGCCCACATCCTCATCCTGCTCCCTGGTTTGGTGGCCATGAAAGCCAGAACGACAATGATGGTTTTGGCCAACACACAAGAAATTGCGACTGAAAAGATTATGCCAAATGTGGTTTGTTGAAGAAGACAGGTAAGACTTTCAGGCTGGCCAATGAATAGCAAAACACAAAGAAAGGAGAGAAGGAGGGAGAGAAGGAGAAGGTAGGTGAGGCTCCGGTTGTTGGCTTTGACTATGGGAGTGTCCCTGTGCATAATGAAGATTCCCAGCACCAAAGCTGTGATGAAAGACAAGGAAAGAGCAGAACCGGTCAAAGTGATTCCCAAAGGTTCTTCATACGTCAGGAAGGTTATGTATTTTGGAATACATGAATCCTGGTCGTCATTTGGAAACTGATCTTCTGGACACTGGAAACAGTTCTCCGTATCTAGAAAAGAAAACATCAGCTTTGAAATAATCAAATCTAAATATGAGAAAGACCTGGATGAATGTTGTCAGGTGAAAAATTGAAATATAAATATTTACAAGATGTTGTTCTCACAGATGAGCAACCCAGCAGCACTGGGTGCTCAGTTCTGTCAATGAATATGTCTTTCCCTACTACTTATTGTTGGGGTGGCGTGGAACAAACGGCTTCTCCTCTTGGTCTGGGGAAGGGCAGCCTTGCCGTCTCCGCTGACTGCTGAAGGATCAGCTGCAGGGACCACTGTTAACCCTTTCCCTGTCAGCAAGAACATTCTGCACCAACTGTACAAAGGCAGTTGACAGCACCAATTGTCAATTTCTTTTGTACTGCATAGAGGCAAGAAAGCACACTTTGGCCCAATCAATCACATAGATGATTTTGAGCTGCTGGGTCTGGGATGAGTACATGTTGCTTCCTGTTCTTTTGCATTTCACCTCAAGAGGCAAGAGACTGAAAGGTGGTGCATAAGTCTTTAAAATGAATGAATGAGTTTGGTCTGTGTCACTTTGACATTACCTTTTGAAAATTGTGGCATTCCATTGTTGATATTTTATTGTTAGATTGCTTTAAGCTGTTTTACAGGAAGCAATTCATGAATGGAATTTATGTATCATGTGTGGTGTCTTCAAGGTACAAAGATTCAGGATGTGGCAGAGAAATTGCCAGGTCTTATAAAGCCCATTCACCACAACCCTTTCCTTCTGATCCATGTGGGTACTAACAATACTGCCGCAACAACCTTGTATAGCAAGGGGCTGTGTGACTTGGGGCAGGAAGCTGGAGGGCCTTGAGACACAGGTGGTCTTTTCATAACTCCTTCCTGTTGAAGGCCATCACCCAGGAAGAGAGAGGAAAATACTGGAGGTAAACCACTGGCTGTGCAGGTGGCGTCATCAGGGAGGGTTTGGCTTCTTGGACTGGGCTATGCTGATTACATGTCAGTTTCTCAGATTGCATCTTCATTCATATCAGCAGCTACCACCACCACTGTAGAATTGTGAACTACTCTTTTGACACAAGGGAAATGACTCTCTCTATATCCTGATGTCAATATCCCTGATAAACTGTGTGCATGATATTTCTTACCCTTCTGGTTTGAGATCTTCCCTTCCGGACATGGAATGCAATCATAGCAGCAAAATGGCTTCCCTTCCTTCTTGGCCTTCTGATATCCTGGGTGGCAATTGTCATTGCACACAGAAAGGGGCTGTGCCTGTCCATACATGAAAGAAAAGAATGTTTTAATTTTTGCAAGTTTGTACCTCACTGGTTATTTTGAATCACGGAGGATTTTGTTTCATTTTGCAATCTGGAGCAAGCCTCCCTTTTCTGTACCTGCTGGATTATACCTGAATCAGATAATTTC